GTTCTGTTTTTGCAATATTGCAATTTTTTTTTCAAGTTAAATTGGAATATAACAACAGAATTTCCTTTTGATTATATTCCTTATGCCACATTTCTTCAACTCATTGGCTACGATTTCAATAAGAGTCCATCTCGGGATCTGGTAAACATCTGATCTCTTATTTTAATACTCAGTGAAACCCAGGGTCACGGGTTGGAAGATGATGAAGTTCTCATTCTTATTTAAGTCCTGTCTACAACGTTAACCATTCAGGTGACTCAGCCCCAGGAAGCAAAGCGGTTGCTGTGTTTGTATTAGACAAAGAGCTGCACAAGTCACAAAATTGCATGTCCTGTTTTATCTTTGATACTAAAAGCTTGGAATGAAATATAATGTTCAGTTTTTATATTAAATTTCATCCCAATTTCCTTGTAAGATTAACTTTGTAGGGGCCGATGCTGTGGCGCAGTGGGTTAATGCCCTGGCCTGACGTGCCAGCATCCCATATGGGTGCTGGTTTGAGATCTGGCTTCTCCACTTCTGGAAGATCCAGCTCTCTGCTATTGTCTGGGAAAGCAGTGGAAGATGGCCCAAGTCCCTGGGCCCCTGCACCCACGTGGGAGACCAGGAAGAAGCTCCTGGCTCCTGGCTTTGGATTGGCACAGCTCAGGCTATTGAGGCCAACTGGGGAGTGAACCAGCAGATGGAAGATCTCTTCCTTCCTTCCTCTCTCTCTCTCTCTCTCTCTCTCTGCCTCTCCTCTCTCTGTGTAATTCTTTCAAATAAATAAATCTTAAAAAGAAAGATTAACATTGTCTTTGATCTAAAAAGGTTTAATGTTAAGAATGAAAGTCAGCTTTCAGTATTTAAAATATATTAATAAATCACAGAAGAGAAAAATATGAAATCATCTCAACAGAAGCTACTGAAGCAGTTAAAAGTATACCACTCTGGCCCATGAGCTATTTAAGTTAAAGGCTATTGAAAACAACAGGTGCAAGACCACTCTGACTTTGAGCTGTTTCTTAAAAACCGGAGAAGGGATTCTCATGAAAATTGTCCTTGTTCCTGTCATCAAGGAGAAGAAACCTGAGACCTGAGAAATTCTGTACAAATAAGCCTTGTTAAACTAACCCTTATCTTTTTTAGCCACTTCTCTATCCAATTAATTACCCTAACCCAAGCCCCTTTGCCTTATCACAGTTTCAGAGTTTGCTATTTTTGTGCTATCCAATATGTAAGCAACAGACTCTTAACTGCTTCTTTTGGTCTGCACTTCTTTATGAGGACTCCAGGGCCATGTAGAACTTGCACTATGCCTTCTCCTGTTAACCTATTTTATGTCAGTTTCATTCTCAGACTCAGAAACCTAAGGGGATGGAAATGGAGTTTTTCCTTCACTATACCACAAATGCATTTGACAAACCTAAATTTCCATTCTTGGTTTTAATTTTTCAAACTCAAAAGGAACAGAAAGTCAACTCGTTAACATCATAGCTATATTAAAACTGTAAGGCAAAAAGAAATACCAATGTTAACCAATTATTTAAAATTTTTTAAACTTTTATTTAGTAAAATAAATTTCCAAAGTACAGCTTATGGATTACAATGGCTTCTGCCCCCCCCACCATAACTTCCCTCCCGCCCACACCCCTCCCATCTCCTGCTCCCTCTCCCATTCCATTCATATCGTTTCATTTTCAATTATCTTTATATACAGAAGATCAATTTAGTATAAATTAAGTAAAGATTTCATCAGTTTGCACCCACACAGAACATAAAGTGTAAAATACTGTTTCAGTACTAGTTACAGCATTACTTCACATTGGACAACACATTAAGGACAGAGATCCCACATGAGGAGTAAGTACACAGTGACTCCTGTTGTTGACTTAACAATTTGACACTCTTGTTTATGGCATCAGTAATCTCCCTAGGCTCTAGTCATGAGTTGCCAAGGCTATGGAAGCCTCTTGAGTTTGCCAACTTCGATCTTATTTAGAAAAGGTCATAGTCAAAGTGGAAGTACTCTCCTCCCTTCAGAGAAAGGTACCTCCTTCTTTGATGGCCCGTTCTTTCCACTGGGATCTTACTCACAGAGATCTTTCATCTAGGTCCTCTTTCTTTTTTGCCAGAGTGTCTTGGCTTTCCATGCATAAAATACTCTCCTGGGCTCTTCAGCCAGATCCGAATGCCTTAAGGGCTGATTCTGGCCAGAGTGCTGTTTAGGACATCTGCCATTCTATGAGTCTGCTGTGTATCCCGCTTCCCAGGTTGGATCGTTCTCTCCCTTTTTTATTCTATCAGTTGGTATTAGCAGACACTAGTCTTGTTTATGTGATCCCTTTGACTCTTAGACCTATCAGTGTGATCAACTGTGAACTGAAATTGACTTGGACTAGTGAGATGGCATTGGTACATGCCACCTTGATGGGATTGTATTGGAATCCCCTGGCACATTTCTAACTCTACCATTTGGGGCAAGTTCGATTGAGCATGTCCCAAATTGTACATCTCCTCCCTCTCTTATTCCCACTCTTATATTTAACAGGGATCACTTTTCAGTTAAATTTAAACACCTAAGAATAATTGTGTGTTGATTACAGAGTTCAACCAATAGTATTAAGTAGAACAAAAAAAATACTAAAAGGGATAAAGTATTAAATTGTACATCAACAGTCAGGACAAGGGCTGATCAAGTCACTGTTTCTCATAGTGTCCCTTTCACTTCAACAGGTTTCCTTTTTTGTGCCTGGTTAGTTGTCACTGATCAGGGAGAACATATGAAATTCGTCCCTTTGGGACTGGCTTAATTCACTCAGCATGATGTTTTCCAGATTCCTCCATTGGTTTTGACTGCTGTATAGCATTCTTTTTTTTTTTTTTTTTGACAGGCAGAGTGGACAGTGAGAGAGAGAGACAGAGAGAAAGGTCTTCCTTTTGCCATTGGTTCACCCTCCAATGGCCGCCGTGGCCGGCATGCTGCGGCAGGCGCACTGCGCTGATCCGAAGGCAGAAGCCAGGTGCTTATCCTGGTCTCCCATGGGGTGCAGGGCCCGAGCACTTGGGCCATCCTCCACTGCCTTCCCTGGCCACAGCAGAGAGCTGGCCTAGAAGAGGGGTAACCAGGAAAGAATCCGGTGCCCCGACTGGGACTAGAACTTGGTGTGCCAGCGCCGCAAGGTGGAGGATTAGCCTATTGAGCTGCAGCACCAACAACTGCTGTATAGCATTCTATAGAATACATGTCCCATAACTTCTTTATTCAGTCTACTGTTGATGGGCATTTAGGTTGACTCAAGGTCTTAGCTATTGTGAATTGAGCTGCAATAAACATTAAGGTGCAGACAGCTTTTTTGTTTGCCAATTTAATTTCCTTTGGGTAAATTCCAAGGAGTGGGATGGCTGGGTTGTATGGTAGGGTTATATTCAGGTTTCTGAGGAATCTCCAGACTGACTTCCATAGTGGCTTTACGAGTTTGCATTCCCACAATGGGGAAAGGGGAAAAAAAAAGGAGACATAAATATCAAAAGAGAAATAGCAAAGTTGTAATTGTTTGCAGGTGAGGAGGCTCATCTACCTGCAAATCCAAGAATCAACTCACAGACTATCCTGACAAAGTAGCTTAGATATAGTGAAGTTTTCTGCTAAAAAAATAAATATTCAAACTATATCTTTCCCACATCACAACCCACAGTTGCAACAAAATATAATGGATAAATATCACATTAAGAAAATAAGTGAGTATGTGGCTCTGCAGCTAAGTCACTGCTTGGGATGCCTGCATCCCATACCAGAATGCCTGGTTAGAATCCCAGTTGCTTGGCTTCCAATCCAGCTTCCTGCTAATGCACACCCTGGAAGGCAGCAGGTGATGGTTCAGTACTTGGGTCTTGACCACCCACGTGGGAGACCTGCATGAAATTCTGGGCTCCTGGTTTCAGCCTAGCCCAGACCTGGCTGTTGAAGACATCTGGAGGGAGGGAACCAGAAGATGGAATCTCTCTCTCCTTCTCCATTTCAAATAATATGAAAATAAATAAAAATGTAGAAAAGAAAATATAAAATAAGAACCTTAGATGTTGTGAGAAAAACACAGGAAATACAGGAAGCATCTGTGACACTCAAAGCAGGAAAAATAAAAGCCAGTGCAGTGGTGCAATCTTAGAATGCTCTTAAAGTGAATTACACTTTGATACACATTTGAATTTCTCCTACACAGTTTTGGTACAATTTCATGCACTTCTCTGGAATAATATTTTCAAAAATGAAAATGACAAAGGTCACTTGAGCTGATATTTAAATATATTCAAAATTGATACCTATAAATATATTAGGTAACAGATCCCAGTAACAACAGACAGTAAATATTAAGTCCAGAAATAGACACAAGTATTTAAAGTGTATTTGATTATAACTTGGTATTTAAAAATTGAATTACTTTTCAAAAGCAATGTTGGAAAAACATCACCTGGACAACAACCCCAAATCTATATTTATGTCATTTAATAAAAGTCTAGAGAACTAAAAACACTAAAAAGAGACCACGGCAGAGAGAGAAAGGTCTTCCTTTGCCGTTGGTTCACCCTCCAATGGCCGCCGCCGGCCGGCGCACCGCGCTGATCCGATGGCAGGTGCTTCTCCTGTTCTCCCATGGGGTGCAGGGCCCAAGCACTTGGGCCATCCTCCACTGCCTTCCCTGGCCACAGCAGAGAGCTGGCCTGGAAGAGGGGCAACCGGGACAGAATCCGGCGCCCCAACCGGGACTAGAACCCGGTGTGCTGGCGCCGCAAGGCGGAGGATTAGCCCAGTGAGCCACGGCGCCACACCCACTTTTTGTCTCTGATTTGTCTCTGCTTGAGTTCACATCTCTCGGATGACAGCAAGACTACCCACTGCTTTAATTGGTTGGCACACCCAGTTAAGAAGCCCGCAGGAGATTAAACTGTTGCACAGTCCTGGGTTTGTTCTCCGCCTTCAGGCCACAAGCCACAGGCTGTGATTCTGCCAGAGGGGAAGCCATAGCCCTGTGAAGTGACCAAGTTTACTCTGGTAAAAGAGGCAGAGGGAACATGTCCCCACCACCCATGGACTTTCATGAAACCAAGGAATGTCATTCTCTACTGCTCATTTTAAAGGTGGATTTATTTATTTTTTTGGAAGGCAGAGTGACAGAGATAGAGAGAAAAACACAGGGAGAAAGGGATCTTCCATATTCTAGTTCATTACCCCAATGGCAGCAACAGCTCGGGCTGGCCAGGCCAAAGCTGGGAGCCTGGAACTCCACCTGGGTCTCCCACTGGGGGGCAGGGACGCAAGCACTTGAGTCATCATTTGCTGCTTCACAGGTGGACTAGCAGGGACCTGACACAGGATGCAGGCATCCCAAGAGGTGGCTTAATCCACTGCACTGCCGTGCTGGCCATTTGCTGCCCTTTCCAGACCCAAATCTGCTCATCAAATTTATATAATGAAATTTATTTATATCAGTGCAAAACAACACGCAATAATTTAAAAGACTTTAAGACCATGCAATTATATCTTTTAATTTACATTACTTCTAACCTGGTATTTTTTGAAAAAAAATTATTTATTTTGTTTATTTGAAAGGCAGAGAGAGAGACCTTCCATCTACTGAGGGTTCACTCCCTCAGTGATGGCAACACCTGGGTCTGAGCCGGGCTGAAGCCAGGAGCTGGGAACGCCATCTGGATCTCTCCCATGTGTGGCAGATTCAAGTACTTGAGCCATTGTCTGCTGCTTCCCAGGTGCATCAGCAGGGAGCTGGAATGCAAACAGAGGAGCTGGGACTCCAACTGCACTCCAGGATGGGAAGTGGGCATCCCCAGCAGCGACTTAACCAGCTGCTACACAACACAGCCCTGAATAAGTTTCTTTAAATTCTGTTATTTATTTGCTTGAGAGGCAGAGAAACAAAGACATAGGCATTAACAGAGAGACAGAGCTCCTATCTGCTGGTTCCCTCCCAAAATGGCTGTATTGACTGGGGCTGGGGCTGGGGCTGGGGCTGGCCAAAGCCCGGGCCAAGAACTCAGTCCAGGTCTTGCAGACACCCAGCTACTTGAACCGTCACCTTCTGCCTCCCAGTCTGTGTTAGCCAGAAGCTGGAAATGGGAGCAGAGCTGGGAGGGGGACCCAGTGCTCTGTTGTGGGCTCAGGCATCCCAAACAGGTGCTAACCACTAGGCCAGACATTGTCATCCCCCCTCAGATGTCTTTACATCCCCGTTACATAAAACACTGACCTGCCTCACTCCCGCACGACAGATACTCAGCAACACCACAATCCACCACGTCTTACGGCACTGCCGTGAAGAAAGACCATCTCCTCTCTCAGCAGTGGCGGTGATGACAACACGACCGGAAGTGGACCGCGGAGAAGTCTGTGCGGTGCACGTGTGTAACTACGTCTCAGTCCCCCCGCGGTGCACCGACCGCCGGGACCCACGTTCCCCTCCGCCCTCCAGCTCGCGTGCTATCTCAGGAGATTCTCGCACCGGCCACAGCTTGCTGTATCCTAGCACGGGCTCTGCTTAGGCTCCCCGAGGCTCCCACTGTGCAGCTGACTTCCGGTTTGCCCACTTTCTAGCCTCCTTTTGCGTCTACCTTCTGTGTCACGTCTCTAAATGTCACCATGTCTGAGCGCTCCGTGACCAAATCACCCTTTTTGTGCGCAGGCTCCACCTTAGGTGTCCAGCTACACACCAGTCATCACCCGTCCTCTCTAAACCTGGACGCCTCCTCTGTGTTCCTGACTCGTTTGCCCAGAGAGCCCTGGCTCCTGGGGTGAGATTCCTGACAAACATCTCCAACTCCACGTGGGCAAAACCTCAATGTCCTTGGCACCCTTTACCCTTGAACACCCTTTAGTTGCCCAAATCTGCATCACATTCTTGATTCTTCTCTTCCTGCACAGGGCACAGTCTCTCTGCCTTATCTGGGCAGCTCCACCTCCACAGTGTGTCTGAATGTGATTGCTTCTCACCGCCTACCTCCATCCTGGTTCACCCTAGTGGCGTCTTTCACTGGAACTCTTCAAATAGCTGCTGTCTGGGTCACCCAGCTTCCCCTTTGCCTGCCTGGAGTCCTTTTTCAGTGGACACAATGGATCCATTGCTTGGTGAGTTACCAAATGATCAACCTCAGACAGGCATTGCGCAGAGGAAACCTTTATTTAAAGAAGACAGAGGGAAGACACAGCTCCAGAAGAGGAAGTACCTCTTGAGAAACAATTATGGGTTTTATGCCAAGGGTTAGGGGTAGCAAAAGAGAAGGGAGGGGGGATCCCTTCTTACTCAAACAACATAAGCAACATACAACTTCCTGCTTTGTCATACATTGTGTGTTCCGAAAATGGTGGCAATCTCCTCTAAGAGGAGAATTTAGTGTTGCAATGAGAAAAGTTCAGCTTAGGTAGCGAAGGTCTGACTCAGACTGCTTTCTTGTGGTGTTAGCTTTCCGTGTTTGGAGTGGTCTGGCCCCTCTGACTGCAATGCTGCAAGAGAAGCTTCCTTGAACATCCTCTGTAAAACAAGCTCAAGAGAATATGTATTTACACAGTGTCTGAATGTTTACCCCCAGGCCAGTGACCCCTTTTTGCCTGGATCTTACTCTTGGTTATGTTTTCACCCTTTCTCTGGGGGTGGCCAGTAGGAAAACAATCAGGCAAGTTACTCCCTACTCACAAGCATCCAGCAGATTCCATCATAAAAACGGAACTGACTTCAAACCCTCTCCTACCATATCCTGCAAGCCCTACAAATCTGTCCTCGACCACTTCCAAATCTCCTCACTCACTAGTCTCCAGCCACACCCCCTGTCATTACTCCCTCTCCAACATACTGAGCTCGCTCCAGTCACAGATTCCTTTCCTTGGTTACTTTTTATGCTTGGAACACTCTTTCTCCTGACTTTGATGAAGCCCTGCTTCTCACCCGTAAAGTCTCACACAGGTGCCCCTCCCTGAAGTCCTGCCCAAGTGCTCTCCTGAACTGCTCTACCACATAGTGCATTCCGTGTTCTTACTGCTATGTGAGGATACTTAATGCTTTTATTTGATACAGTGATTCATCTCCCCTGACCCACTTGTAAAGCTCTTTGAGGGGCAGAAGTTCTGACTGTGTGTTGCTCACTATTCTTCCCAGCTTCAAATAAGTGGTTTAAAAATATTTATTTACTATCTGAATGAATATTAGAAAACAGGGTTCCTGGGGCCTGTGCTGTGGTGCGGTGGGTTAAAACCCCAGTCCGTAGCACCGGCATTCCATATGGGCACTGGATTAAGTCCCAGCAGCTCCACTTCCAATTCCAGTTCTCTGCTGTGGCCTGGGAAAGCAGTAGAAGATGGCCCAAGTCCTTGGGTCCCTGCACCCGTGTGGGAGACCCAGAAGAAGCTCCTGGCTCCTGGCTTCGGATCAGCCCAGCTGCAGCCATTTCGGCCATCTGGGGAGTGAACCAGCAGATGGAGGACCTAACTCTCTCTCTCTCTCTCTCTCTCTCTCTCTCTCTCTCTCTCTGCCTCTCTGTAACTCTGCTCTTCAAATAAATAAATAAATAAATCTTAAAATAAAAAGGGGAGGGTTCTTAGTCTGGAATCTTTGAACCTATGTGGGGGCAAAACACCTACCTCTGTATTCCCCTAACCTCTGCCTGAATTTAACATTTCCTGTCATTATGAGTGCAGGCCCAGACCACAGCAGAGGTGGTACTGACAATCGACAGCAGTGGAAGTCACAGTGTTTTCTGATGACACAGCAATGATGACCAGCCCATATTTCAAAATATATTGTTTTCTGCAACACTAAATTTTGAAATTAATCTATTAACATAATAAATAACACATGCATGTGCCCTTTAGTATCTGGAACATGATTTCAGCATAACTAGTCTCCTTTAGAGCCCTCTGCATTATGTTCTGGGCAGTAGCCCTTTATACAGAAGAGGTTGAGAAGTCCTATTGTCCATTTTCACAACTACTGTCCCTGGAACTCTGAAGTGCAAGACACAAAAACAGGAAAGACTAAAAACTGGAAAACTGCCTCATCTCAAAACCAACAAGGACTATTTGCTAATTCAAAACATTGAGGAAAGGAGAAATTGGAAATCAACACACAGCTGCCTGCCAAACTCAGGAGGGAGAAGTCAGCCAGGAGAGAGGTGGGAATGCTCAGGGCAGTGCCTCCTATCTCGGTGAGGGTGAGTTGAGGCAGGAGACAGGGAGACATCTGGGAATCAAGGGACCTTTGCAATGCTGGCATCCTGGACTGGTTGGTAACAGCTCTGGGCTCCAGGAGAAACACATGGCCGTGACTCAGACCTTTTTCATTTCCCCTTAGCCTCCTACACCACAGTGGGAAGTTGTAAGGTAACCAACTGGAAACCAAGAGTGGGTGTGAGCATGTAGAGAAAAAATTCTGCTGAGGTGGCAAACTCAATGCCTGTGTCCTGTGGAATGACTGACAGCATGAAGATGTAGGTTGGGAAGCAACAAGCATCCATACACCCAACACAGAGCAATGCCAAGGAAAACCTCACTCACGGGGTTCCTACGTCACCTGCCCTAATTTCTGAGAGGCACATTTAAGGCTTCCTCACAGGTCCTCCAGCTCCAGCCTGATGAGAGGATGCAATTGGTGATCCAGTCAACAGAGGGGAACAAAGAAATTCTATCCACACCATGATGGGAAAATTACAGTGCAGTTGAGCTGGCCCTTGTCAAAGAAAGGTTAAGTAGGAAAATGGAATATGATCTATATTTTGGAAGGGAAAATAAAGCAGAAAAGGTATGCAGCATGTGAATGATAAAATGAACACATTTTCAAAGAGGCAGAGAGTGTATGTGCAATCAAAATTTAAAATATTCCATAACCCTCAGAATTGCCAGAGGGAGACATGAGGGCAAGATTAAGAGCATTTTTTCCTTTAGGGAACATGAAATAAAGTGACAGAAAATGAAGTATATCTGTAAAGATAATAAATTAGGTTGGATCAAACTCTTTTATACAAAGATGAAACGATCTCAAGTGGGTGGAACTCGACTATGAGCTGTGCTCAAGTTTGTACCTGGGAAATTGAAGACAAACCTTTGAAAATGCTCAGGGGATATTTTCTAGTGTGGCTTATTCATAAAGACCACTTCAGTAATTTCTACAGTAAAGTGTTCAGGTAAACTCCTGTACTTTTAAACTGTTAGTTACATTCCATTCACTTTAAGACTACCTTGCTAAACATCATTGATTCCAGACTGAGATTTTTGCTATTTCTAACCAGCATCCTTGAGTATGCATGCATGCTGGCAAGTTTTGTGAGTGTTCCATTTTGGACATTCTTCATGATGGTAATACTGAGTGGTTTATTTTTTGAGCAATACTAGCAAATTTTTCTCTAAGCATCATTTGGATCATTTCTAACAGTAAATTTTCTAACTGGTTATTTTTCCTTAAGATAAAAAATATCTGTTTCTTTAATAAATAGGTTATCCAGAAAACTTATTGCATTCACTTATTTCTATGATTTTCTAGTCAACCCACTTGGATTTTGTAGGTGAACAATCGTTTTATCCACTCATGATGGTAATTCACCCTAGTTCCCATGTGTATTCTTCATTTCCTTTTCTTCCACCTCCTCCCTGTTAAGTGAAAACCTCATGGCTTATATTACAGATAAAATGCCACCCTAGGTGTTTACCCACTACACAAACCCTACCTTCTCTCAGCTCATTTTGGACAAACCCAGGTTTGCATCCCAGGCCAGCCCCTGCTCTGGTGCTTGGATTTCATCCCCTCTGCTGGCTGAAATCCTTCAATTCTCCTCCTGTGCCTTCTCTCCTCTGCTGTGAAGCCTCACTACTGGGCCGAACCTTCACAGCTCGTGTGGTGTTGCATTTATCTTCTGAAACAACCACCCACCCCATAACAGAGCTCCCCCTGATTCGACAACTCTCGATGGCTATCGCAGCATTCTCTGTTAATTGGTACAGCAGTGTGTATCCTGGTTGTCTACATTTACTCAGCTCATCTACTCCCTTTGTTTTTCCACTATAAAATAAAATGTAGACACAGAAAATGGCATAAAGTGAATATGTGGCTTAGAGAATTATTATAAGGTAAATACTCTTAATGAAAAGTAGAGTATTACCAAGACCCCAGAAATTCTCCATGTAGGCCCCCCCAATAGTAACAACTACCCTGATGTTTATAATAATCTCTTCTTCTGTATTTCTTTGTAGATTTTTGTCTGCCTATCTGTCTATTTATCATCTTCCTCCCTGTATGGTTTAGTTTTACCAGTAGTTAAAGATTTAGTATGTCTTTTAAGCCTCCCCACCCCACCCGGGATTCCTTTCTTTGTTAAAGAATCTGAATCCTTTGGCTGATAGAATCCTGACACTTTAGGTCTGGGGATGGTATCCTTTGGATCTAGTTCAGTATATTCTCTGCTTGCTGTACTTCTTGCCAAACAGTAGCTGTATCCAGCTGGATTTTCCGAGCAAGACATTGGTGGTGCTGTATTCTTTCACACGGTGCTTTTATGTCTCTCTGCTTGTGGTAGGAATAGCCATTCAACACTCGGGCCTCTTAATTCATGGGAGGTTACAAGAGAGGCATATTCCATGCCTATTCATTCTTATTTATTGTAGCTGAAATAATTCTAAAATGAATCGTTTCCCCTACTGTTTACTGGTCACTAATAGAGTTTGTGTAAGAAAGGCTCAATATCAGATTCTCTTTTGAATACACTTCAATAAACCTTTTTCATTTGACAAATGTGATGTCAGGGTCACCTTTAAGGTGCCTATTGCTCGGGGCCGGTGCTGTGGTGCAAAGGGTTAAAGCCCCTGCCTGTGGCACTGGCATTGCATATGGGCACTGGTTCGAGTCCCAGCTGTTCCACTTCTGATCCAGCTCCCTGCTAACGTGCCTAGGAAAACAGTGGAAGATGGCCCAAGTTCTTGGGCCCCTGCACCCAAGTGGGAGACCCAGAAGAAGCTCCTGGCTCCTGGCTTCAGATTGGCTCAGCTCTGGCCGTTGCGGCCATTTGAGGAGTGAACCAGCAGATGGAAGACCGCTCTGTCTCTACCTCTTTCTGTAACTCTACCTTTCAAGTAAATAAAAGTAATCTTAAAAAAAAAAATAGTCCTAATAAAAATCTTTCACGGTCTAGTTCCTTGGTAGTGCTTGCCAAATTCACTCACACTTTTTTTTTTTCACTTCTCCTCACTAAGGCTCCCAACTCTTCCTTCTACCTCACTGGATTCCCGTCCCAGTCTCAGTTACAAACTTCTCCTCTTCCTCACCCTTTGATGGTAGGGTCCCAGCCTCCAAAATCTCTATCTCAAGCTCTCACATCTCCCCAGAATTCCAGAGCAGTGTGGGTATGTCCTGCGGGCTGCATGGCCTTTCCGTTAGGATGTCTCATGAGGCCAGCCTCAGCAGGGTCTCCTCCCCCTCTATCCTGCAACCCTGTTCTTCCCCATCCCAGGGCTCATCTTTACCTCCCCCTCTTACGTCGCCAGTTGCAAATATTTTCCTTAATGTGATCATTTCTCACCTTCAGAGCCGTGTATGTTGTTTTTCCTTAGCCCAGTCCTGGATTTCTGCTTTAGCAAATATAAGGTAGAAAATCACGCTTATCACATTAATGATGGACATCAGGAGGAAGATTTTAAACCAGGAAGATTCTGGATCCTGACGAATTAAAATGCAAAGTAATCATAGGTTACTGATCATGCTTTTGCATGTTGTAATATTTAAATATAATGTTAAAATAATACAGACTCAATGCAGATCATAGACATGGAAAATATATTTATAAATAGCTAAAAGGTATCATTTTACTTTACAAAAATAAGAACTTTTGTCTCTACTATATATGCCAACTAAAATTCTATTTTAATCAAATACGAAGTCTACTATACCAGTTTCTAGTAGCTCATAGCTAACTGCTATACCTTCTTTTTCCATTCTGATTGACTACTGCCAAACTTTCTGCATCTTTTCTACCATTAGCACATGAAGACAGACAATAGGCAGAGGGAAGGTGTACTTTTGTGTTTTACTTGACAAGTTTAACGTATTTCTATATATCATAATTATTATTTTGTTAACGTTTATATTTTTCATGTATTATTTATATTTGACATTGTCATGTTCTCTTTTAAAGATTTATTTATTTATTTGAAAGTCAGAGTTACGCAGAGAAAGAAGGAAAGGCAGAGAGAGAGAGAGAGAGAGAGACGTCTTCCATGTGCTGGTTCACGCCCTAACTGGCCACAATGACTGGAGCTGCGCTGATCCAAAGCCAGGAACCAGGAGCCTCCTCCCTGGTCTCCCACATGGGTGCAGGGGCCCAAGGACTTGGGCCATCTTCTACTGCAGAAAGCTGGATGGGAAGTGGAGCAGCCGGAACTTGAACCGGTGCCCATATGGGATGCCAGCACGGCAGGCAGTGGCTTTACCCGCTATGCCACAGCACAGGACCCATTCATGCTCTCTTTTGTTTTGTAACTGTTGATTCACTTTGGAGAGATTTGCTGTTGCTTTCCTTTTGTGCCACATCATTACCACTCTTTGGTGTCACAGACCACCGACCAAGCAGATACGCAATCTCCGTTCCTTACCTGACTAAGGAACAATCCAGCCACGGTGGAAGAAGTCATTCCTCCTGTCATCCCAATTAAAGTTGTAACTCCTTTAATAAATACATAATACCTATACAAACAAGAATGATAATACACAGGTGTAAAGTAGTACAAATGATGCAGGAAAACAACCGAATCCATTGAGGTTTCAGAGAGACAACTGATGGTTTTGTGAATTGACCATTTCTGCTTCTCGAATTCCTTTTAAAAATGTCAGAAAATATATAAATATAAGCAACTTTTGAGTTGCACAAAAGAATGAGAAAACCTGACATTAATATAAATAAATCTTAGGAAAATGGGACCCTACTTAGAGTGAAACCTGGCAGAGTCAAGAAACTTATTGATATAGTGGAGAAATTCAGACAGTGGTGTGTTTTGGTAGTGGGAACTGGAATGGAGATAATAAATGTAAGAAATACACATAGCAGACAAATATATGAAAAAAGGTCAATACCACTAGCCAGTAGGGAAATGCAAATCACAATAAGATATCGCCTCACTTCTGTCAGAATGGCTATTATCCAAAAGACAGAGAGACAAAAAGACAAATGTTGGTAAAGATGCAAAGAAAAGTGAACTGTTGTACATCATTGGTTGGAATATATACTAGTGCAACCACTGTGGAAAACAGTATGGAGATTTCTTGGAAAAACTAGAAATAGACTTGCCATATGATCCAGTAATCCCACTTCTGGGCGTTTGCTCAGAAGACACGAACACACTGTGTCCAAGTGTGTACCTGCACCTCCATGTATGTAACAGCACTACTCACAGCAGCCAAAATATGGAATCAACCAAGGTGTCCATCACCAGATGAATGAATAAAGAAAATGTCACACACACACACACACACGACAATTATTCAGCTATAAAAAGAATGAAATTCTATGATTTGAAGAAAAACGGTTAGAATTGGAGGACATCAAGTTGAGTGAAATGACAGACACAGAAAGACAATATCACGTGTTCTTCATTTTATGTGGGAGCTCAAATTTAACAAAAAAGTTAAAAAACAGAAATGCCTGTATGTATCATTTTGCTGCAAATACACTTTTGTCAAACTTTGTTTCAAATCTTTGTCAAATATCTTTATAAGAATTTCATACTACTGGGGCTGGTGCTGTGGTATAGCGGGTAAAGCCGCCTCCTGCAATGCCAGTATCTCATATGGGCACCAGTTCGAGACCTGGCTGCTCCACTTCCAATCCAGATCTCTGCTATGTCTTGGGAAAGCAGTAGAAGATGGCCCAAGGCCACAAAAGATTCATTCCACCAATGTGGGTGACCTGGCTTCAGATTGGCATAGTTCCGGCCATTGAGGCCATTTGGGAAGTGAACCAGCAGATGGAAGACCTCTCTCTCTCTCTCTCTCTCTCTCTCCCTCTTCTCTCTGTGTGTAACTGTGACTTTCAAGTAAAATAAATAAATCTTAAAAAAAGAATTTCATACTACTATAATTATAATGATTTTGTGAATATTTAAAAATTTATATGAGTGATGTTGAATAACATTCCATTTGATTACTGTTTATAGTCCTTGCCTATCATGAACTACAGTCTTTTCATTTTTTATTTGTTGAACACTTTAGTGTAGCATTAAGCCTTTGACTGTAACGTAAATTCAAATTGTGATTTCAAAAAAAAGTAAAATATTAAGTGGAAAAATTTATACATAGAAATGTCCAAAAAAAATATCAAGGGGTCTGTTCATCTGATCTAGTCCCAAGGATTGCTCCCAACACTCAGACAAGGAAATCAGAAACCTCTTTTATAAGCAACTGTGATTGGCTAATCTTGGATGTTCAAGTCAACTCTAGCAGGAAGTGAATTTCAAAAGCAAGGAGGCCACTGGAAAGGATAGGAAAAGGAGCTAAATCCATCAGCCACAAAGAACAAGGGAGTGCTTTTTGGAGCGCAGAATCACAGTGTAATCAAGAAGTGAGTTTAGGGGCCAGCGTTGTGGTGTAGTGGATCCCGCTGAGAATGTTCTTCACATCTACAAAAATAATGAGAGTTTGATTTGCCTGTTTCCAACATATAGATACATAGGTAGGTAGATAGATAGAGGTAGATAGATAGATAACGGAGCTGTATTGTACACATTTCTTTTGCCTGGTGTTGTCTTTCTCTCAATAACTTAGGTGTGAGATTCAACCATGATGAATCAAGTAGCTATAGTGTATTCATTTTTATAGTTTATTTGAATGCTACAGTTTATATTTGCTGAAAATGTGATCATTTTAATTCTATAACAAAATGTTAAGATTTTAAACAATGCTGCCAAGAATATTCTTGCACATGCATCTAGGTACAGTGTGCAAGAATTTGTCTAGGTTTTGTATTGAGGAGTAAAATTCCTGGGTCATATAGCACATGTGTCTTCAACCTTACTAAAAGTGTCAGACTGCTCTCCAAAGTGATGATATCAGTCAACACTCTCATTAGCAATGTGTAAGCTCCATTTTATTTATAGGACACCAGGTATTGACAGAGTTCTTAATTTCTATCAATACAAATAATATATATAACATACTGTTATATGAGTGTGAGTTGTTTGAATTTCACTGAATTTGAGATAGTTTTATGTGTTTAGTAGTTGTTTAAATTTTATGTTAAGTGTCCTTTCAAATCTTTTTCTTATCCTACTATTGCATCACCTCCTTTGAAGAATTCATTTGCGGACAGATGTTTGGCCCAGCAGTTAAGATGCCTCTTAAGACAACCATATCCCACATTGGACTGCCCGAGCCTGAGTCTCAGCCCTGCCCCTCACTTCAGCCTTCTGCAAATGTGCATTCTGGAGGGCTCACATGGGAGACCTGGATCAAATTCTGGACTGAGCTTCAGCCTGGTCCACCCCTACTATTGTGGGCATTTGGAGAGTGAACCAGCAGATGGCAGATTCTCTCTCTCTCTCTCTCTAATTAATTAATAAAAACACTAAAAAGTTGTTTTTACAGGTTCTTAATAAATTATGGATATCATCTTTTGCTAATGTTATGTACTGAAAATATCCTCTCAAGATATCAAACTCACCTTTTCTATCTCATAATGGTGTGTTTTAATTAAAAAAAGAAGGCTCTGAATGTAATCATTTAAATTTCTCAAACTTTAAGGAGTTATTTTTAATGAAGATGCTTTTTTATTTGAAATCTCCACAACACAGAAATCTTTTATCACATTGAATTGTTAGCTGTGCACATCAGCACATTCCAAGCAGACATTAAGAAATGCCACCTTCATTGTGATCAAAAAACATATTCTGAATGATTGCAATTATTTCATTTTAATTAATCACAGCCTGCTTTCCCACCATTGGCAACTGAAAGGAATGTGAATTCTTCTCTTATTGAGTATAGTATTCCATATTTGTCAATTAGATTATTTAAAATTTTTTTGTCCTAATCATCTATATCATTATCAACTTTTTGTCTACCTACCTTTGTGGAAAAGCTGTGCAATATGTCCCAAACTTTCTTACTTCCTTATGGCTTTATCTAGTTCTGTAAGTTCTCTCAACTCATGATGGCTATTAATTAAAGCTGATTACTGAGTAAAAACAGAAGTGGAATTCTGATATTTTATTTACCAGTATAAAATATCATCTTTTTCTGGCAATACTCCTTGCATTAAGGCGTATTTTTTATCTGATATTAACATAGTAATTCCAGGCTTCTTTTGGTTAATTTCATTGTTTTTGTATCCTCACATTTAATGTGTCTATCTTATTGGATACATAGAGCTGCACTGCATTTTTGAATGAATTCAATAAGCTTAACTCTTGGTTGGGGTATTTAGTATGAACTAACATAATGAAATTACTGATATAATCATATTTCTGATTATATTTACCTATTCACTATTTTCTATTTCACCTCCACTTTTCTGTTCCATGTTTTCATTTTTACTTTATTTTAGTTTCATCCATTTTTGTTTCATTTCCTTCTACATTATGGGATGCTGGCACTGCAGGCAGTGGCTTTACCCACTATACCACAGTGCTGGCCTCTCTTCATTCATTCTTATACAACAGTGCTTCATCTTTTTTTTTTTTTTTTTTTTTTTTTTTGACAGGCAGAGTGGACAGTGAGAGAGAGAGACAGAGAGAAAGGTCTTCCTTTTGCCGTTGGTTCACCCTCCAATGGCCGCCGCGGCGATCCGATGGCAGGAGCCAGGAGCCAGGTGCTTTTCCTGGTCTCCCATGGGGTGCAGGGCCCAAGCACCTGGGCCATCCTCCACTGCACTCCCGGGCCACAGCAGAGGGCTGGCCTGGAAGAGGGGCAACCGGGACAGAATCCGGCGCCCCGACCGGGACTAGAACCCGGTGTGCCGGCGCCGCTAGGCGGAGGATTAGCCTAGTGAGCCGCGGCGCCGGCGACAGTGCTTCATCTTTAAAAAAAAAAAAAAAAAAGGTGTATTTGTTTATTTTAAAGGCAGAATCATAAAGAAAGAGAGAGAGCGAGAGAGAATATCTTTCATCTGTTGGTTCACTTCCTAAATGGCCACTAGAGGCAAGTCTGGGCCAGGCTGACGCCAGCAGTGAGGCACTCGTGTACTTGGGCCAGTTTCTGTTGCTTTGCAGGGGCATCAGCAGGGAGCTGGATTGAAGGCAAAGCAGCTGGGACTTGAATATGGGAAGCTGGCATTGCCAGCTATGGCTTAACGCACAGCACCACAACAGGGGCCCCAATCTTTGATTATTTTATTTTTGCAATTCCCATTTATTAATTATTTTATTGGAGTTCTGTTACTAATGAATTCTTTCTGTTTGTTTTTAGATCTTTCTGTTTTATCTTAATTCTTTTTTTAATCTTTGTTTTTTTTAAACTTTTATTTAGTAAATATAAATTTCCAAAGTACAGCTTATGAATTACAATGGCTTTCCCTCCCCATAACTTCCATCCCACCTGCAACCCTCCCATCTCTCACTCCCTCTCCCATTCCATTCACATCAAGATTCATTTTTTTTTTTTTTGACAGGCAGAATGGACAGTGAGAGAGAGAGACAGAGAGAAAGGTCTTCCTTTGCCGTTGGTTTACCTTCCAATGGCCGCCGCAGCTGGCACGCTGTGGCCAGTGCACCGCGCTGATCCGAAGGCAGGAGCCAGGTGCTTCTCCTGGTCTCCCATGGGGTGCAGGGCCCAAGCATTTGGGCCATCCTCCACTGCCTTCCCGGGCCACAGCAGAGAGCTGGCCTGGAAGAGGGGCAACCGGGACAGAATCCGGCGCCCCAACCGGGACTAGAACCCGGTGTGCTGGTGCCACTAGGTGGAAGATTAGCCTATTGAGCCACAGCGCTGGCCCAAGATTCATTTTCCATTATCTTTATATACAGAAGATCAATTTAGTATAAATTAAGTAAAGATTTCATCAGTTTGCACCCACACAGAACATAAGGTGTAAAATACTGTTTCAGTACTAGTTATAGCATTAATTCACATTGGACAACACATTAAGGATAGAGATCCTACATGAGGAGTAAGTGCACAGTGACTCCTGTTGTTGACTTAACAAATTGACACTCTTGTTTATGGCATCAGTAATCTCCCTAGGCTCTTGTCATGAGTTTCCAAGGCTATGGAAGCCTTTTGAGTTCGCCAGCTCTGATCTTATTTAGACAAGGTCATAGTCAAAGCGGAAGTTCTCTCCTCCCTTCCGAGAAAGGTACCTCCTTCTTTGATGACCTGTTCTTTCCACTGGGATCTCACTCACAGAGATCTTTCATTTAAGTTTTTGTTTGTTTGTTTGTTTTGGCCAGAGTGTCTTGGCTTTCCATGCCTAAAATACTCTCATGGGTTCTTCAGCCAGATCCGAATGCCTTACGGGCTGATTCTGAATGAAATTTTTCTTGATAGGGACTTCTGGGTTAATAATGACTTTCTTTTCTGCATGTTAGAAATAGCAATTAGTTTGCTTCTGACTTATTTTAGTAGTAAAATAAATATTTACTGATAGATTGTCATTAGGATTAATAATATATAAAACACACAGACAATAGAAATAATGATGAAGTAGCTAACCCTGGTACAGAATTTACTATATGTATGTACCCTACATTAACCTGTTGAACCCTCTTAACAACTCTTGAGGTAATCATTCTCTTATTACACCTATTTATAGGTAAAGAAAATAGCACAGAGCAACTAAGTAATTTTCTTGATGTGAATAGCCATGCTGACTTGAGAATTTGTGCTTCTAATTGTTTTGCTAATCTGCTTCACATAGGTTTTTGACAAGTGTGTCCATCTACATGTAGTGTAAGTGAATAACTGTTCCTTATGTGTCTGACTTGTGGAGGTCCTTCTCCAGAACCTTTGGCCTGCTGGCTACATACTGTAAAATAACTGAAATCTTTTTTTTTTTTTTTTGATAGGCAGAGTGGACAGTGAGAGAGAGAGAGAGAGACAGAGAGAAAGGTCTTCCTTTGCCGTCGGTTCACCCTCCAATGGCCGCCGCAGCTGGCGCACTCTGGCCGGCACATTGCGCTGATCTGAAGCCAGGAGCCAGGTGCTTCTCCTGGTCTCCCATGGGGTGCAGGGCCCAAGCACTTGGGCCATCCTCCACTGCACTCCTGGGCCACAGCAGAGAGCTGGCCTGGAAGAGGGGCAACCTGGACAGAATCCGGTGCCCCGACCGGGATTAGAACCCGGTGTGCTGGGACTGCAAGGCGGAGGATTAGCCTATTGAGCCGCGACGCCGGCCAATAACTGAAATCTTAAAACACCCTTCAGAGCTTGTATTCAAGAAGGAAATGTTTTTAAAACCTTACCTGGTAATAGCAAACTATCCAAAAAAGAAATCAATAAAATAATCCCATTCACAATAGCTACAAAACAAATATATTTAGGGACAAATTTAATCAAGGAGATAAAATACTTGTGTACTGAAGGCTATAAAATATTGGTGAAATAAATTTAAGTAGTCCAAATAACTGGAAAGACTTCCTCTGTTCACAGATCTTTAGGATTAATATTGTTAAAATGTCCGTACTACCCAAAGCAATCTATAGATTCAGTACAATCCCTATCAAAATTCTAATGACATTTTCACAGAAATACAAATCCTAAAATCCAAAGACACCGTTAAAATTTTTCAAATAGCCAAAACAGTCTTGAGCAAGAAGCAAAAGGAAGTATCATATTATCTGAATTCTAAATATACTTCAAAGCTATGGTAATCAAAATGATACTGTAATGGCATAAAAACAGATACACAGACCAATGGAGAAGAACAGACAGCCTAGAAATAAACTCATGCATTTGTGGCAAATTGATTTCTAACAAAGGTGCTGACAGCAACAGTGGTAGAACGGACAGTCTCTCAATAATGTTGAGACAAGTGGATATTCATAGGCAGAAGAATGGAATTAGATCTTTACCTCATACCATACAATAAATCAACTAGAAATGATTTAGAGACTTAAGTGAGACCTGAAATCATAAACTAGAACTACTAGATGTACATAGGAGAGAAGGTTCATAATGCTGGTCTAGGCAGTGCCTTTTGGATATGATCCTAAAAGTACGTGTAACAAAAACAAAAACAGACAAATTGAATTAAATCAAGCATCTGCATAGCCAAGGAAATAATCAACAGAATGAGGAGACAACCTAGAGGATGACAGGAAATATATTTTCAAACCACAATTTGATAAGGGGTTAATGTTCAAAATATATGAAGAACTCAAACAACTCACTAGCAAGGAAACAATCTAATTAAAAATTGGACAAAGGGCCTGATTAAATATTCCCTCCAAAAAAGATGCACAAATGATCAACAGGAGTATGAAAAAATGTCAAGTATTACTAATCATCGATAAATGTAAATTAAAACCGTAATGAGATATCACTTCATACCTGTTCAAATGGAAGCTATCAAAAATGAAAGCATGTTGAGAAGAATGTGGACAAAAGGGAACCACTGGGCAGTGTTGGTGGGAGTAGAAATTAATACAATGATTGTGGAAACAGTAAGGTGTTTCCCAGAAAATTAAAATGAGAACTACCACATGATCCAGCAATCCCACTGCTGCATATGTATCCAAAGGTAGTGAAATTGATATGTTAAAGAGAAATATGCTCACTGCAGCATTTTTTACAGTAGTCAAGAATCAACTAAAGAGATTCTTAGGAGCCAACTAAAAGTGAAATCCTGTCTTTTGCAACAAAATGGATGCAACTGGAAGTGAAATAAGCCTTAAAAAGACAGACACCATATGTTTTTCCTGATCTGTAGTAATTAGTAAGAGTACCTAAAATGTAATGTATAGGTGTGAAATTGACATTGTGAGATTATTTTTTTTTGACAGGCAGAGTTAGTGAGAGAGAGAGACAGAGAGAAAGGTCTTCCTTCCGTTGGTTCATCCCCCAAAATGGCGACTATGGCTGGCGTGCTGTGCTGATCTGAAGCCAGGAGCCAGGTGCTTCCTCCTGGTCCCCCTTGTGGGTGCAGGGCCCAAGCACTTGGGCCATCCTCCACTGCCTTCCCGGGCCACAGCAGAGAGCTGGGTTGGAAGAGGAGCAATCGGGACAGAACTGGCGCCCCAACCAGGACTAGAACCTGGAGTACTGGCACCGCAGGCAGAGGATTAGCTTAGTGAGCCGTGGCGCCAGCCAACATTGTGAAATTTTTTTGAACTTTTATTTAGCAAATATAAATTTCCAAAGTACAGCTTATGGATTACAATGGCTTCCCCCCCTCCATAACTTCCCTCCTGCCCGCAACCCTCCCAACTCCCGCTCCCTCTCCCATTCCATTCACATCAAGATTCATTTTCAATTATCTTTATATACAGAATTTGATAATTGTCTACAGCCCTTGTCTCTACTGTTGAGAAAAGGTGTTTTTCTTGTCATACTATCTGTTGAACTCTTTACTTAATGTAGGGATAACCTTACAAGCATAAAGTAGACTGAAAGTAGCTCTTTGTAAAATTAAGAGTGGGAATAGAAGAAGGGGGAGGAAGAAAGGTTGAAGTGTGCGCACGAGGGAGGGTAGAGTGGGTAGTATCACTATGTTCCTAAACCTGCATATATGAAATACATGAAATTTGTATACCTTAGATAAAAATTTTTAAAAAATTTTAAAAAGGGGTAAACAGATAAAGAAAATGTGGTATATATTCTACTATGGAATATTGTTTAGCTCTAAAAAGAAGGAAATGCTGTCTTTTTTGACATCATGGATAAAACTGGAGTACTTTACTTTAAAAGAAATAAAGGTGGCGCAAAAAGACAAATACCACATAATCTCACACACATATGGAATCTGAAAGAGTTGACTTCATAGAGATAGAGAGTACAGTGGTGGTTACCAGGGGCGGAGAGATAGGATTTAAGGGGTCTTTAGGGAGGTGTTGGTCAAATGAAACAAAATTTCAGCTATAAGGAATAAGTTAAGTAGTCTATTATACAATATGTTGACTAATTAATAATAGTGTGTTACGTTCTTAAGACTTGCTAAGAGTAGATTTTACGTGTTCTCACCACAAAAAAGTATGTGAGTTAATATATATATGCTAATTAGCTCCATTTAGCCATTGCACAATGCATCTGTATTTCAAAATATCATGTGTGCAGGATAAATATATGCAATTTTGTTAATTAACATTTTAAAAATTTTAAGAAAATCCTACCTGGGAGCAAGATCCAAGGCATTGATAAGTGCTCCTCCCAAACAGAAGCTGCTGCTTGCATTAGCAAGTATGAGAAAAGTGATGGTGCTGTAGAAGCCGGAACTCAGGTAGAGCAGGCACATGCTGAAGACTATAGGCAAGAGAAGTCCTAGGGGTGATGTAGATAACACAGTCAGGTGCATCTGGAAGATGTGGGGGACGTACTCCCCAAGTGCCCGCATAGCCTGGCTATCCCTTACCTATCGCCGTGAAGAGTTTCCGAATAGCAGTTAGGCTGAGCATGTTCCTGGACATGAGGAAGTCTGCTGTGTGACCTGCTATGACACCACAGATCCAGGCAAACAAGTAGGGGAGGCTGGACAGCAGCCCGTTCTGCGGAGGAAACGTTATTCTGAGAGTGTGATCAGTAAACCAATTCTGACACACACCATAGTCCTCACATGGAAATTCAGTAACAAACATGGGGACTTCCATATACACAGAAAACCATCAACATACAACACCAGGGCCGAAGCTGTGGTGTAGTGGGTAAAGCCACTGCCTGCAGTGTCAGCATCCTGTATGGATGCCGGTTCGAGTCCTGGCTGCTCTACTTCCGATCCAGCTCTCTGGTAGGGCCTGGGAAAACAGTAGAAGGAGGGCCCCTGCACCCACGTGGGAGACCTGGAAGAAGCTCCTAGCTCCTGGCTCTGGATTGGCCCAGCTGCAGCTGTTGCGGCCATCTGGGGAGTGAACCAGCGGATCTAAGACTCTCTCTCTCTCTGCCTCTGCCTCTCTGTAACTCTTTCAAATAAATAAATAAATACATCTTTTAAAAAAACATACGACACCAGAATTGCTGCTGCAGCCACACTACAGAGCAGATATCAAAAAATAAGTTTGAGGTTAGTAATACCTAGAGCTGTCACAATCTGTTTTTCTCCTTTTGGTATATGGGACCTGAAAGTGCTGTGGAACAAGAGGAAGACTATGTTAGAAACGAGAAACAAGGGCCCTGAGGAACCTGAGAGGGGGCAAAAATGGTAACAATCGCAAACACACAGAGAGTGCCCACTCTGGCCCATCCTCTGTTAATCCCTACAACAAATCCTTGGTTTCCCCAAAGATGAATCTGACTCATGGAGTACTTTTATGATTCTTACTGTAATGCCAGCCCCTAGGCTGGGCTTCTAGAAGTTTATTACGGAGTGCTCCAAAGTAGCATGCCCAGACTCCATTGCTAAAGGAATCCTGGCTCGTTATTATGGTATCAGAAAAGAGGAGCTTGGAACATCAATAATTCCCAAAATCAGATAATCTGCCATGGGGGCACCAGCCCTTTCAGAGCAAGACCAGGTGTGTGTTTATAGCCCAGGACTCATTGCCTTACTCCAGGAGAGAGAATTGACGGGAGCTGGGCATGGTGGTGGTGGCAGGGGCAGGCCTGGTAACATTCAGGGAAGGACTCCAGTCCCCACTGGGAATGGTGGTGCTGAACCCTCGGTGATACACAGGTGCAATCATTCACTGAATGGGAGGTGGGGAATGTGTGGGAACACCGGTGCACACGGAATGTTGCTGGAGTGTCAGAAACTATGTCTATACCAGCACCTTTTGTTCTGGGCAATATTCATATAAAAATACAAAATTGCAAATCTCCAGGTAAAGAGCACTAGCTAATGGGTGTGTGTTGTGGCGCAACAGGTTAGGTCAGTGCTTGCGACACCTGCGTCCTTATCAAAGTGTCAGTTCAAGCCCAGAAACCCTGATTTGGATCCAGCTTTGTGCTGATGCATCCTGGGAGGGAGTTCAAGTGCTTGGGCCCCTGCCACCCATATGGGAGACCCAGATGGATTTCCTTGCTCCTAGATTTGGTCTGGTCCAGCTTTGGGGTATTTGGGGAGTGAACCAGCAGATGAAAGATCTCTCTCTCTCTCTCTCTCTCTCTCTCTCTCCCTCCCCCACCCCATCTCTGTTGTGTGTGTGTGTCTGCCTTTCAAGTAGATGAAAATAAATATTTTTTTAAAAAAAGCATTAGCTAAATGGTATAGGAGGCAAGCAAGAGCTGAGCCTTGGGCCGCTAGAATCAGAGAAAGGAGTAGTGTCCTTTGTAAAGTTGAACAGACCATACACTCACCTCTCTTATGTCAACATGAAGCATGGAGTTGATCAACGTTGGGGTGTATACAATCAACATGCTGTATGTCCATAAATAAGCAAAACAGCAGAAAGAAATAGCCCAGAGTGGAAGAGACTTAATCATAGCCTTGATGGGCAGAGATTGTCTTGTTGAGCTGCCCTGGAAATGAATTCATTACTCATTAGCCAATTAGGACAAGCTGGAAATGTCTCATTTGCAGTAGAATCGGGGAGATGCCAATTCTGTGTTCTACCTGCTGGATGAGGGAGGACGTGATGTATTCTTTCTCATGCAGGCTCACGCATGGGTGGTCCTTGGGATCATCATAATACAGAACGAACCAGAGAAGACACACAGCGCAGCCACAAGCACCTGTCAAAGCAGGAGAAGTTGGGGCTGGGAGTTTCTATCTCTGTTGGGTCTTTCTTCCACTCAGGTATTTTCAATGCATCAGTCTGAGAATCTGGACCTCCCCTTTCTTTTTTGAAACTTTGCAACAGGCTCATGGTTTTCATAGTCCTCGTGGTATCCAGTTGCCTCTCTATACGGACTGAATGCTTTAGAAATGGTGGCAGAGTCCTCTGACTCTCCAGATGCCCCAGACTCTGCAGCTTCCCATGATAACAGCTGGCCTCCTTGTTCTTGGACCCTTCTTCAAAGTCCAAATGTGGAGGCAGACACCTAAGTGTCTAAATCACTTTGATTAAAATTCTTTTCCTCTTTTCTCAGTAATAAGCAATATGCGTATGAGACACTTCATAGCAACGTGACTGTAGTAGAAGGAGTAGTCCTTTGGGTTTCATGAAAATATGTATGGCACCTGCAATTGCCATGTCACTGTATAGAATGCTACAGTAGGAATACAACATGAACACTGCTGTGGGTTCAATCTTTGATCTGCAATGCTGGGCAGCATTAGTTATTGAGATTTTCTTACAAGGAGCTGAAACCTCACCATCCTGTAGTTTCTGTATATTTGATTTGGTTTGTAGCACAGTAGAAGTGTGCATTTCTCTTCCAGGATAGTTATAGAACATGTCAGCTGCCAAGCTTTCCTTTCCCCTTAGACAGCCCCGGCTTTTTCAGCCCCTGTCTTGATACAGGGCTTATCTCATGCCTATTCTTACCATTGCTTACTACTACTAATGACTGGAATGGTGATTAAGAGCAGTGGAATTTGAGGTTTTCAAATTATCGATCTGCCATTTTCTCACAGTGTGTACTAGATGTCTTCTGTTTGTCCCTCTGGTCCACTCTCCAACCCCCTTCATCCTGCTCTGCCCACTGATGGTTGACTTGAATGAACGTCACCAGCCCATACCCTCTGCTTTCCAGTTGGGTTTGGCCAACAGAAAGCCCAGGGCAGAGAGGGAAGGAAGAGAACTGAGACTGGGCTGTCTTTTAAAAAATAATCACCTCGCTGCTAGGGCAGCTTCCATGTATGCATCTTTTTATGGAAAACAACAGATGCTCTCAGGGCAGCCTGCTCTGTGAAGCTTTCCTTGTGGATTCTGATCATGACTCCCTCCACTGCCCGCTGCAGGGGTGGTACTTTGTCCTTAGGCCCAAGTTTCTTCACCATCCCTGTGGTTCCACCACATGTCAGACCTATCCCTGTAAGTAATCACTTTGTAAATAAATCCTTCTGAACCTACTGTAAGTATGACTTTGAGCAAATTATCTAAATCCTTACTCATTTCCTCACCTCATAAATGGGCATAGGGTCAGTGACGTGGCATTAACATGCAATGTGACATCCCATATGGGCACTGGTTGGAGTCCCAGCCACTCCACTTTTTCCACTCAGCTCTCAATGCATCTGGGAAAGTAGTGGAAGATGGCCCAAGTGATTGGGCCCCTGACACCCATGTGGGAGACCCAGATGGAGTTCCAGACTCCTGGTTTTGGCCTGGCTCAGCCCCGGCTATTGTAGCCATTTGGGGAGTGAACCAGTGGTTGGAAAAGCTGTCTTTCTGTCTCTTTCCTTCTCTCTCTTCATATCTCTCCCTCTCTCTCTGTAACTCTTTCAAATAAATTTTTAAAAATGGACATCATAGCACCCATCCAGCAGTCCCTTAACCTGAAATCTGAAATCAAGATCTGAAAATCAAAAGCGAATTTATAATTCAGTTGTCAATCTCAATTCTTCATAGTTTTTAGGTGCTCCAATTTTCACAAATTTCATTTTTCAATGCAGAAATTAATACATTTGGGGCCAGTGTTGTGGTGTAGTGGGTAAGACCACCAGTGGGTAAAATGCCAGCATCACAGATATGAGTTCCTGTCGTGGCTGCTCCACTTCTGATCCAGCTCCCTGCTACTGCACCTGGAAAGCAGTGAAGGATGCCTCAAGTACCTGGGCCCCTACATCCACATGAGAGACCTGGAAGAAGTTCTTGGATCCTGGCTTCAGCCTGGCCCAGTGCTGGCTATAGTGGCCATCTAGTGAGTAAACTAATAGATGGAATATCTCTCTGAGTCCCTCTCTTTCTCTGTAACTCTTTCAAAATAAATAAATAGATCTTTATTAAAAATTAATACATTTGATTATGGAATGCTGCTCCATATCATGCTTTGAGTATGATATATAATTAGTATACTTATCATATTATCTTCCTTGAGTCTGAAAAATTGTCTGTTTTGATCATCTCTTTCACTAAGCTTCAAATAAGGTATTTAGAGCTATAGTATTGGCATTGTAGAAATGGAAAATTATATACAAAATATGTGTGTAATTTTGAGCATGATCCTTGCCTGTAGAAAGAACTCTGTGAATGCTAACTTCTCTCGCTCCTTCAGTGGAATTTAAGATTTTTTAATATGAACTTCATATAAATTATTGTTAGGTTTTTATTTCTTAAATTGGGTTTTTTCTTCTTAAATTCTAAATCAAAACTGAAATTTTATAGGAAGAAACTCACCAAAAATGTAGAAGACCATGGGCCAGCCCAGAGATTCACAAATGATACCCGTTACAAGCAGGACGATGAACGGACCCAGCAGAAACCCTGATCCAAATGCACAAAGGACACTTTTCATTAATGCAGACGTCTGAAAGTAGAGAAAATGTGGCCTCAACCTGGTAACAGATAATCCCCTGTGATGGATATTTGTACACAGTAGTGCTGGTCAGAAGAAGGAAATAAAATATTTGCTTTTCTCTTTTTCTCTGTTATTGATCTTTCTAGATCATTTTTTCATCTTTAGAGTAGGAAGGCAGGAGGTAGGTGATGTCCGAAGCTCTTGACAATTTAAAACGTGTTTCTACAGCTCTAGAGAAGAAGACAATGCCATGAGATGAAAATGGGACTCAATCATCCATCTCACCTGATAGACTCATAGAGGTAAGGCGGCCTCGCTCCAAGGGAGGAGCCCATTTGACCCATATCTCATGCTGGGCTGTTGTGACTGTCCCCTGGAACGAGAAATATTAGGACGGTTTACCTCTGGTACTCTTTATGAATTTAAGATCTGTTCAGTTTGGCATTATTTTAATACCTGAGTTATTCCTTGGACTACTCTACATACAATGATCCAAGTTTCTCCGACTGCAGCAGCTTGCGGGATGAATATGCTGACCAGAGAACTCAGAAATAATGCAAAGCCAATCAATTTCTTTATAGAGTATATTCCAGAGATGTATCCAACAGGAATCTGAATGAGAAAAGCGCCATAGAAGATGGAGCTAAAGATGATACCCTGGACATCAGGGCTCCAATTATAGACGGGGTTCTGAAAGATAAAAGGAGACATGTTGAACCACTTCATATATTCAGGCTTCACTATGATATTCAGAGACTTAGGGAGACTGATCTTACTGCTCACCCCATATAAAGTAGCTCTCCTCTACCTAATGTTCTGTGTCAAAAAGCCTTCATTCATCTGTAACACCACTTATGTAGTTATTTTCCTTTTATCACTTGTATTTCCAACTATGGGTTGAGTATCCCTACCCAAAGTGCTTGGGGTGGACCAGTATTATAGATCTCAGATTTTATTTTTGGGGTTTGGAATATTTGCATGTATACATAATTGAATATCCTGGGGATAGAACTCAAGTCTAAACCTCAGATCCACTTATTTTTCTGTACACCTGATATACATAGGCTGAAGTTCATTTTATACAGTACTTTCAAGGCAACCGTGTTGGGACTGTGACGCATCACTTAACATCAGGTGTGGAATTTTCCACCTGCAGCATCATGTCAGATTTGGAACATTTAGGATTTTGGCTTGGAGAATCTTAATTTGTATAATGTAAAGTCCTGATAGCCAAGGCACCATTTGCACCTCCAGTCACTGTCACATCAGAGACATTTCATATTCATTTCTTGAATGTTCCGACCTGTGTGTAAACTCTGCTACAGAGCACTGCAGATACAGAGATGGTTAGTTCCTCTTCGCTTCCTGTAATGCCTCCATTCATTCAAGCTCATTACAAAATGAACTTTTCCTTTTGCCACATTGCTCTCAGAGAGCAAATAGTGGTAGAGGGAACCAAGAATTCCATTTCTGAGTTGTGGAAATAACTGAACAGGATAGCAGAGAGTTAAGATCATTTCCCTTCTTTTCCTTGGCTCTGATATGGCTTGATTTTCCCCGGAGTGAATCCACTTGTCAATTCCATGTTAGAGGGCCTTCTGTCATTCTGATACATTATTAAAACTGATAGAAGAACTTCCAAACATTGAATTTATATCGGAGCCTGCATTTGTTTTTGGGCTCACTGAACAAGAGAAACCTTAATGGTAGTCAGTGAGGACAAGGTATAGCTTCTTTGGAAGTGTTCAAGATAGTCCCTTTCTCTGAATTTTCTCTGTTAGCTGCACAATTAGAAGGAACATAGTGACAAATGAAGGGCTTTGTTGAATGAGGAGTGACATTGCTGGGTAGTTTTCTGGTTGAATATTAAATAAGGAAATAGGTCATAATACATGTGTTCTCTCATCATACTGCCTTATGTCCATTTCATGTCTCTGTCACCCTATCGCTGTGACCTGTAGACGATTGTTTTGAGGATGTAAAAGGATTTGCATAGAGCATTCTGGGAAGAGAGCTTCTCTAAGGATATTGAGCCATGTGCAGTGAGGCACTTCTACATGTAGCCAGGTGACAAGTGACACGCTGGCTCTTTCCCATTGTGACAGAAGGGACCACCCAGAGGATGAAGCAGAATGTTCTGCCAGGTTTTGTTGGTCAGTTTTGATGTTTACTTATTTATATTTGAAAGGACAAGAGAGAGAGAGTAAGAGAGAGAGAGAGAGAGAGGAAGAGAAAGAGAAAAAGAGAAAGAAAGAGAAAGAGAAAGAGAAAGAGAAAGAGAAAGAGAAAGAGAAAGAGAAAGAGAAAGAGAGAGAGATCTTTCATCTGCTGACTCACTCCCCAGATGCTTGCAACAGCTGGGGCTGGGCCAGGCCAAAGCCGGAAGCCAGGAACTCAATCTGGGTCTCCCATGTGGGTGGCAGGGACCCAAGCACTTGAGTAATCACCTGCTGTCTCCCAGAGCGTGCATTAGCAGGAAGCTGGAATGGAGAGTGGAGCTGGGACTTAAACCCAGATACTCCAGTATGGGGTGTGGACATGCCCAGCAGCAGCTTAACTACTGTGCTGGACGCCTCCCTCTGTTTGTTGTTGTTGTTTTCTGAATCACAGAAAGCACCAAGGGAATAATTATGCACCCTCACCCACATCAGGTGGGCCAGTAGACATTTGTTCAAGTCTACTTGTGCTGTGAACAGATCACTTAAAATCTCGGAACTGTTTTCACGGCATAAAACTATGAACATTCATGTACACATCTCTGTATGGGCATATGCTTTCGTTTTTCTTCAGTAAATGCATAGCAGTGGAATGGCTGCATCACATGGTAAGTCTATGCTTAATTGGGTACCTAATTGCCAAGCATTTTGCTAAGTGGATGTACCATTTTGCATTCCCACCAGCAGCATTGAGAGAGGAGAGAGTCTTGGCCTCTCCACATTCTCATCAATACTTGGTAAGTCTAGTCTTTGGAACTCCAGCCATTAGTAGAAATTGTGTATACTAATGTATCTCTGGGTCTTAACTTGTTTTTCCCTAACTAATGATGTGGAGCATCTTTTTATGTATTTGTTGACTGTGTATATTCTTTGGTGAAGGATCTACTCACATCCTGTCTCTATTTCTGTATGGGGTCATCTGTTTTAATAGGTCATTGAGTTTTAATGGCTGTCCCTTGTTGATAGATTCGCATACATTTACCTGTGTCCCTGGATTGTTTTTTCTCTGTCTTATTAGTGTCATGAATTTTGATGAACTCCAATTTAATGTTTGTTCTTTTATGAATCTTGAAAAATCAATAGTTCACATATGTGTATTTGTGTTCCACTTCACTGATCTACTCTATTGTCTTTACACAGATATCACACTGCCTTATTTACTATAACTTTATAACACGTCTTAAAGTTAGATGGGCCATGACAATCCTCCAACTACTGGTTTGTCAACAAACATGCAAAGGTCCTTCCCTGGAAAAAGAACAGTTTTGTCAACAAATTATGCTGGAAAACTTGTATGTGATATGTAAGAAAAGATCTTCCATGTAACATATACAGATATTAAATAAATGAATCATAGATTTAAATGCAAAGCCAAAGGAACAAAACTTCTAAGAGAAAATGTAGACTGTTTTGCACCTTGTATTATTGCAAATATTTCTTAGATGCAACAGCAAAAGTAAAGCCCATGAGAAATGTGTTAAAAGATGTTTTTCATGAAGAAGGAAAGTGATATAGCTCAGAAATGCAGATTTACTGAGAATATTAGACAAGACTAACTGAACATGTAGCTCACTTTATTTAGAATTGGTCTAAAAGATAACTTTATATAAAGTTTATATTTGTGTAAAGTTTTTTATTTGTTTATATTTATTTAAAGTTTATATTTAAAGTGTATGGATAAGCAAAGTGAATAAGAACAATGTTATAAGAGATAAAAGAATTAGGAATATTCGGTGACAAGGTGTTTGCACTATGCATGATGCAATATACTGTTATTTGGAAGTGGATTTAGATTATCTTAAGATGTGTATTGTAAACCCTGTAGAAACTACTAAAATGGTGTGTTTTAAAGAGTGAATGACCAGGGGCTGGCACTCTGGCACAGCGGGTTAACGCCCTGGCCTGAGGGCTCCACTTCCGATCCAGCTCTTTGCTATGGCCTGGGAGAGCAGTGGAAGATGACCCAAGTCCTTGGGCCCCTGCACCTGAGTGGGAGACCTGGAAGAAGCTCCTGGCTCCTGGCTTCGTTTCAGCACAGCTCCGGCTGTTGTGGCCAATGGGGAGTGAACCATGGGAAGGAAGACCTCTCTCTCTCTCTCTCTCTCTCTCCCCCCCTCTCTCTGCCTCTCCTCTCTCTGTGTAACTCTTTCAAATAAATAAATTAAAAAAGAAAGAGTAAATAACCTGCCAAGAGAGAAGATAAAATTGAATTATAAAATGCTCAGTTAAACTTAGGGAAAGAAAAAAAGAGAAAGAAAAAAAAAAAAACAAACAAATGAGTATCGATTACCAATTGTGTCTTTGTCTATTCCTCTTTCAGTTTCCAGTTTTTGCTTCCTGTATTTTGTTATTCTGTTATTAGGGACATAGATGTTTAGAATTATGTCTTAGAGTGTGGACTTCTTTATGGTTAGATAGTGTTTTCTTTATCTCTGAAAATCTTCTTTGCTATAAATTCTACTTTGAAATTGATACATTTGCTCCAGTGTTCATTTGATTAATGTTTCATGGTTGCATATAGTTTACATCTATTTTTATACTTTTACTTTTAACCTATCCTTATATTGTGGGAGAATTTCAGGCGGCTAGCATATTTTGAGTTCTTTATTTCTTATCAAATCTGACCATCTCTGTCTTTTGATTTGTATTCTTAGAGACCGTTCACATTTTAAAAGGTTATCAGTATAATTAGATTAAAAAATCTACCATCTTTTAACATTTCTTGCACAGCAACCCTGTTGGTAGTGAATTCTCTTGGGTGATATGTGTGTTTGTGTGTGTGTGTGTTTGTGTTGGCCTGAAAAGTCTTTATTGTCTTACTTTTGAGGATAATTTCATTGGATTGAATTTTAGGTTCACAAGATTTTTTCTTTGAACACATTAAAGATTATTATTCTGTTTGCATGGTTTCTATTATGAAATATGCTGTAATTATTAGCCTTGTTCCTCTGGAGGTAAGAGACTCTTTTTTCCTAGGGTTTGATTCAAGGTGGTCCGTTTACCTTGGTTTTCTGCAGTTTACATAAGGTATGCCTATATATGTTTTCTTCTTGCTGGTTGCTTTTCTTTTTGCTTTTCATCCTGTTTATAGAGTTCTCTGAGCTTCCTAGATCTGTGGTTTGGTGTCTGCGATTAATTTTAGAAAGTTCTCAATGGCTACTTTTTAAATATTTCTTCTTCTGTTTTCTTTCTGGTATTCTGGTTGTTCATGTTTGAGACCTGGGATGATCTGTTAAGGTTTTTTCCTCGTCACTGTTTTTCTCTTTGCATTTCAGCTTTGCAAGTTCCCACTGCCCTGTCTTCCTGTTCCTTAATTCTTACTTCAGCTGTATTGAATCCACTAATGGACCTATCAAAGGCACTGGACTTCTGTCATAGTTTCCTGGATTTCTAGTATTTCTTTTTAATTCTTTCTTTACAGTTTTCATTTCTCTATTCATATAACCCTACCTTTTATTGCATGCTGTCTTTTTTTCCCACCATGGCCCCTAACATATTAATAATCTATATTTGAAATTCCCTGTTTAGGATTTCCTACATCTGTGTCATATCTGGATCTGGTTTTAGTGATCACATTAAAATCAAGATGCAGTACATTTCATATAGAATGTTATTTTTAACAAAACAAGTGGTAAAAATAAAAAAAAAGTTCATATTCCCCTGTATATTCATAAATGAACACAGGAACAGTACAGTGAAAAGTTATTCCTCTCACCTGTTTTCATTTTTTCCTGCATCTACATTTTCTGTCAGATACCAACACATTAATTAAACATTAAAATCATGACAGTTTTAAATAAGTATTTTAATTAATTAGGTAAATATTTAAATATATGGCATATTTTAAAGTTTAAACAAAAAAAAGAGAATGTATCTTTGCCTTCCACTTCTAGTTTAAAATGCTTTCACTTTTTTTCTATTGTCCAAACTCTCAATTCTAAAGAAGCCTTGACTGTTGGGTTCAGTCAACAAGCCCTTAAGAAACATTGAGAGCTTTCATTCTTTCATCATGGGATGCGTTGATTTGGATCATTACTGCGTATGCAATGACAAGACTTGAACTTCTTGCCCTAGTTATTATTGTTTTACCAATAATATTCAATTTTTATACTAGTTAGTAAGCAAGACAGGGCTTATGGGTCATGTCTTGATGTACCTTTGTATTATCCAGGCGCTTCTCTGCGGAGGTGTTGGGCGAACCATGTAGATTCGTGTTGTTCACCATGGCTACCATGGTGAGGCTCAGACACATGCGCTGTGCGATTATCACAATGTTACAAAAATGCATAAAGAGTGCCAAGACATATCGGAAAGAACAGAAACATGGACCTGGGAAGTAAACAGAAAGTCTCAATTGTTAACAGAGCTGGGTAAAATCACACTTTAACTTTTAGGAAAGGCCCCTTGGAGATTTGGAGCCCTGGATACTCAAAGTTTCATTGAACCTACTGGCTTTTGAGACATTATCATACAATAGAAAGAAGTGTGATGACTATAGTAATCCCATAGCTTCTAAAATATAATTCCAACTATAATGCCCCAGAAAATTAAGCCAGTCTTCCAAAACTTGGACTCATGTCTATTCTAAAGGGATCCTTTCTTTACAAATGTATTTGGTTATTCTTGGAACTAAGTCCCCTAATAACAACAAAGACATCTGTCAAGGAAACTGCTCTATTCTCTAAAAAGACCATGGTTTAAAAACTCATATTGTGCACATTGCAGAGAAAAATTACATTTTCTATACTAAAGGCTTATTGAGTTAGCATCATGTTAGAATAATTAGCATACTATTGGCATAAAGCTAAACAAATTCATTAATAGAAGAAACCAGGGAGTTAAGAAAGACACATTTATGGTCAAATATGTTTGCACAAACATACTAATGCAACTAAATGTAGAGAAGTAAAGTCTTTTTCAACAAAGAGCATTTTCCTAAGAGAAATATAGACATATGTTTACCAAAACAACTGTTACAAAAGTGTTTATAGCAGCTTTATTCAAAACAACAGGATGCTTGGAAAGGATGAACATGTTGTGGTATTTTAGAACGATGTAAGCTATAAGGAATAAACCACTGATAACACTAACAGTCTGGATGAGTCGCACCAAAAACATGCTTACCTGAAGGAGTGAGACACTAAGAGTGTCTACTATAGGAATCTCTTCCTATGAAGTTCAAAAGCAGGAAATGTTAATCTTTATGGCCTCCTCACCTCCAAAGCCAGGATTGGGAACCTCCCTCATGTTGAATCTCTCTCCTACTTGGACTCCCTCTAACTTTTCTGGCTCTGGCCTCTGGAGCAAGAGTTAAAGGGCTTAGTCAATTAGACTGTCCCACTTGAATAATTTACCTATTTAAGATCAACTGATTTGGGCCAAATGACACCCTTCAGGCAGCACCTAACTATGTTGGCTTAAATAACTGTGAGAAGGTATGAATACACGGGTGGCAGCAATCTTAGGATTTTCCCAACTACCACCCTCTGGTGCCTGAGGATTCATGTTCACCTACATGAAAAACACATTCGTTGCCCCATCTCAAGGGTCCCAAACACTCACTACAGTATCAGTTCAAGTCCAAAACCTCATAGGAGTGCAAAGTCCAAAATCTCATAAACTAAATCATCTACATCAAATGCAGGTGAACCTCATAGGAGTCATCCATCCTGGGGCATAATTGCCAACTGTGGACTTGTCCCACCAGATAACAATTGGATAGGCATATGATAAGGCTATAGACATTCCGGCCTGGAAGGGGAAAAAAGGAAGCATTGATCCATAGAAGTTGTGAAGCTAAGGTAGGAAAATGTTGTATTTTTTTTTTTTTTTGAGGCCTTCAAATTCATGGCTCTTGGCTCCTGACCCCTCTGGAGAGTACAAGAGAGACCAGGAACCTTGAGAGCTGTGTTAGAGTTCCATCTCCCATACATCCATGCTAACAGAGTTTCCACAGTGAATAAATGTTAACTCATTAAGAGATTGTTCTATGTCTATTAGATGGTGATGCACGTTTGCTCTCTATTTATGTTGAAAGACGTTTATATATATTTTTAAGGTTAAGCTACTCTTTCATTCCTAGGATAAACTTGACTTAGTTTTGGTAGATTTATTTCATGTTTTATAAATTCTTAGATTTCTTTTGCTAATGTGTTAATTTTGCATCTTTATTCATCATTGTATAGAATTATTTTGAGATGTACATATACATATATATTTGACCACAAATGAGATGAACAATTTCAAAATATTAAAATAAGTAAATAAGAGAATTGATTAAAGAAAAAGTACAAAATTTAATAAGCCAGTAACTTACATAAGTTGAAAAATTTTATCACCCATTGTCTATCTCCTATTCTCTGGGATTTTGTTCCCTATGATATGGACACACTTCTAAGTCAGTAGTAGTAATTCCTTACTATCAATCTTCTACCTGACTTAAAATAGTTTCTGTTAGTATTTAGTGAACATCCAACTATGTACAAAGATGCTGGCTTAAGAACTCTCATCCTGCCTCCCTGCCTTCTACTGGTGCTTCTGCCGTTTGAGATGAAAGCAAAATGTTGCACCTTTTTGACATTCTCCACCAAGTACTTGGTAAGTATGCAAGAATGGAACTCATAACTCCAATGCGAGCAGCCAGGGCCCAAAGCGTCTTTTTGCTTAGGGATTTTCTCACGGAGAGCATAGGGTACTTGTTTTCACCTCCTTTCCTGAACCTTACCAAACCTCCTTACCTGTGTCCCAAGGCAATGCCCTCACCTAGACTCTGTGGGGTCATAATTAACAAGGAGAAAGCCTGTGGAACAGGAGTGAGAATAGAGGGTACCTTTTCTGGAAGGGAACTGGTTATCCATTTGCTTACGAGGCTGACTTTGCTCTTTGTCTTGCTGAGAGGTTTGGTCTCCATCCACTGTGAATGCAAAACACATGGATGTCAGCATAATAGGGGGAGGCAGCTGACCAATCACCACGCACTACTGCTCTCTGATTGAACACCTGCACCAACAGGGAATTTGCTGCGTCATCCCAGTGCTCATCTAACTCAGAACGTGCTCCTCTGATATTTCAGTTCCATGGCTTTCTTGGTTGATTAAAAATGTACAGAAAACCCAAAAACTATTGAAAACACACGGAAAACCTTATCAACCCAGAATTCCATATCTAGTGAAAATATCCCTCAACAGTGAAAGAGAGATAAAAGACTTTATTAAACAAACAATAGATGAAGGAACTCATGGCCAGTACACATACTCCACAAGAATTGTTAAAACAAACCCTTTGGGGACACGTTGCAGCATCCCATATGAGCAGCAGTTCAAGTCCTAGCTGCTCCACTTCTAATTCAACTCCCTGCTAATCTACCTGGGAAAGCAGTAAAAAATGGCCTGAGTGCTTAGGCCCCTGCTAATCACTTGGGAGACCCAGACACAATTCCTGGCTCCTAGCTTTGGCCTGCCTTAGCCCTGGGTCATTACAACCATTTGGGGAATGAGCCAGCAGATGGAAGATTTTTTTTCTCTCTCTTATTCTCCCTCTCTGTAACTCTGCCTTTCAACTAAATAATACTTTTTTTAGAGAAGTCTTTAGTGGCAGGAATTGTGTTGCTGTGGGTTGATCTACTAATGCACAAATCGGAGTCCTGGGTTGAGTCCGGACTCCTCTCTTTCTGATCCAGCTTCCTGTAGCAAATGATGGCCCAAGTCCTTGGGTTCCTCCACCCTGATGGAGTTCCTGGCTCCTGGTTTTGGTCTAACCCCACCCTGGCTGTTGCAGGCATTGGGAAACCCCTACACACACACATACTCGCTCACTCATTCTCCCTGTCAAGGAAATAAATAAATCTTAAAAGAGAAAAAGATGTCCCTCGCACAAGAGGCCATTGTTATAGGTAGGAACCTTGAATGTACAAAAAGCAAGAAACAATGTTAGGACAAAAGCAAACTGTTTTCTTGTTCTGGATCTTATTAGAATTGTGAACTAAAGACCGGCTATCTAATGACGACCTCCCAGAGAGAGAGGCAGCTCGTTCTCCGTACCCCACACGTGCCCGTCCCACAGCCGTGGCTTCCGTGGACAGAGCAGCCCTGAGCTGCATCTGCAGGGGACGCAGCAAGCAGAGGGACGGGGCTGGCGTGGCCTCAGGCCAGGCAACTTCTTACACCAGGCTCCGCCGCCGGCCCGCGCTGCCCATCCCACACCTCGGGATGTGATACCAGGTGCTCCCAAGACACCTAAGTCTTGTCTTTTTATGATTTATTTATTTGAAAGTCACAGTTACAGAGAGACAGAGGGAGAGATAGTGAGAGAGAGAGAGAGAGAGAGAGAGAGAGAGAGAGAAATCTTCCTCCCAAACTCCTCCTTATTGCTACAGACCTTAATTAAGGTCTTCCTGAGAAGGCTCCCTTGTCGCCCTCTGGGAAATGAATCGGTTATTAACTTCATGTAATGAGCAGCTTAGAAAAGTGACACTCACCTGATTCAGGACCGAACAGGCATTCCTTCTTCTCTCGGAAGACTTTCTTGCAACTTTACACCGTGTTGAAGGTCTACATTTACTGGTATTAGTCCCATAAATCTTTCACCAAACCTTTTGACCTCTGTCAAGGTCAAAAGCTTAATCTTTAACTTTATTTTCTCTCTTGCCTTGAATCTTCTCAGCGATAGTGTGAGTCTTAAAATCATCCAGTGGACTAGAAACTTCCTGGGTACCTGTCAATCACTTCACGGCATAAGACACAGACACCCTGAGTCCCTCTCCCTGCCCGGGAGGCAGAACAGGGCGCAACGCCTGCTCCCAAGATTTCTCTGCTGGAGGTGGCTCTGGAGCCCCACACCTCTCACGGGACAGCTGCGGCTTGATAAGCCCTATTGGCTTTTTGTCTCTTCCCGCCCTCCCCCACTGCCCTCCCTTCCTGTCTCCTTTACTGTAACCCCCTCCCTCCATTCCTTCTCCCTCCCTGCCGCCGTTCCTTTCATTTCTCCTTCCTTCCCTCCTCTCCTTTCTGTCTTTCTCCCTCCCCCATCCTCCTCTCAAGAGTCGCATCTGCCTGACATCCAACAACTGAGCAAGAGGTACATTTTACCAAGGGACAGCCCCTGAAGGGTGACCCCTAGTGCCCCCCGCCGAGGCCTCCCACCACACACACACACACACACACACACACACACAGCTTCTTCTGCTGTGGCTCTGTGACTTGTCCTGGTTCAGTGTCCTGGCTATAACTCTGCCTGGGGAGAACTTCTAACTCTTTGAAGGTCATCTGCTGATCTGTGAGTAACACCCAAGCTCCGAAATCAGCAGTTTTGCACTATAGATCAAACTGGTTACATACTTAACAAGGATTTTAAAGTCTGTTACACATTTGAAGTGCCTGTGAAATGTTTGGCACGTGGCAGGTAGTCTGTAAGTTGAACCAGTTATTTTTTTCCCTAAAGAAATGTTGGAAACCTTGAATGTCTTGTTATTCCTTTGAATTTCTTCTTCTTGGAAGCCTGGATTCTGGGTGTTCCAGGGTTTTGTAATGTCTGTTCTGGAAAAGGGGCTCTCCCGGTGATTGAAAGCGCTGAGTCAGCAGTTGCTTACTGCCCATGTTTTAGACAAACAACACTCCCATCTGGTGTCATCGTCCCAAGTTCTGGGTACTGATTACCTAGGAGGGAACCAGCTGCCTGTTTCATGTGTGACTCTTTCAAATGGTTTCTGCAGCTGGATTCTTTATTTTACTTCTTATGTTTATATTTTAGTATTTTATTATGGAAATTTTCAGATATACAAAAAAAGTAGAACAGTCTACTATAACCAAATGCTTATTGATGACCTTCAGAAGTTAACACCAATGTTTGTTTTCCAGAGTATTTTTTTTTTTTTTTGGACAGGCAGAGTGGACAGTGAGAGAGAGACAGAGAGAAAAGTCTTCCTTTGCCGTTGGTTCACCCTCCAATGGCCGCCATGGCCGGCACACCGCGCTGATCCGATGGCAGGAGCCAGGTGCTTCTCCTGGTCTCCCATGGGGTGCAGGGCCCAACCACTTGGGCCATCCTCCACTGTACTCCCTGGCCACAGCAGAGAGCTGGCCTGGAAGAGGGGCAACTGGGACAGAATCTGGCGCCCCGACCGGGACTAGAACCCGGTGTGCCAGCGCAAGGCAGAGGATTAGCCTATTGAGCCACAGCGCCGGCCCCCAGAGTATTCTAAAGCAAATCTCAGGTATGTGCATTTCTCCTATAAAAAGATCAGCATAGACATCTAATTCAATCGGACTTTTGAAAACATAGCTAACATACCATTATAAACCAGAAATCCTTAATATCATCTAATATCCAGTCACTATGATACTTTCATCAATGACTTCAAAATTGTTTCTTTTATGCTTCTTTGATATAAATGAGGTTCCAAAAAGGATCACTGCTTAATTGTTAGGGCTCTCACATCTCATGATTGATAACAGTCCTGTTCCTCATTTTATATTTGTTGTGTCTTGGAAACAGCAACGTCAAAAAAGCTGGGTCATCTGCAGAGTCTGTCATATCGATTATGGTGTCCATTGATGTATTTCTTTATTCCTTCTCATCCTATGCACTGTCAGCTATACACAGAGACTTGGTTAAACTCAGCACTAGAACACTTCACTGGGATTCTCTGTGCTTCCTGTGGCGACCATGTTGTTACTTTCAGTGATGGTAAAATGAACCAGTGGGTTTAGATGTGTTCAGTGTGATTTTTTTTTTTTTTGACAAAGTTCTTTTAGCCACTGTTAGTAAATGCTGCCTAGATTCATTGTTTCATTAGAAGATGCGAAATGGTGATTTTTCCAATTCTATCGTACCTTCCGAATTTATGAACTGGAATTTACTTAGGAAAAAGGAAACTGATCTTACCAAATATTTGGTAACCTGGAAATACAGATTTAACAGAGAAGGTCTGATAAATTCTTCATAAAATTTCAGGATAATGACTTCGTGTCTTAGCAAAGATGACCAAGAACAATTACGACCTAATGGATTTTATTTGCTGTTTCAGTCCATCAAAGTCCTTATTGCCATTTGGTGCTCAAATTACCCCTTCTTTGGCATGAGGAGTCCCCTTGAGCTGGCTCCCACGTCGTTGTGACACAGTCCTATGGTCTTGGAGAGCTTACTTCTTTTCTAGCACAAAATTTTCTCCAGTCCAGGCAGCCAAGGGCTGCCTGATCTTGGACTGTGAAGCTCCACAACTGTGAGCTGTCATAAGCGTCCTACTTCCATAGGTAGTTCTTTCAGATGTAGTGATGAAAAGCTGACTAATACAGACTCATCTAAAGTCTTATATCACAAACTAAAGAATAAATAAGTGGTCAGCCACTAGAGCCAACAGTAGAGAAAATGGGACACTCAAGGATACCCTCCAGTTCGGCTGGGTGTGAGATCTTAACTCCTCTCTCCACCCCTTCTCCAACCACTGGGGAAGGTGCTTGTCTCCTGGCAAACCAGACTCTCGTTTTCTGAGAGTCCCTTGGTCTTGTCCACCTTGCTCCCTTCCCCACAGTGCCCCCTATCTTCTTTGGTCTGGGGCTTTCTGAGAGATCCACAGGCAGGGGAAGGTTGGAGGTCTGAAGAAGGGCAGAGTTGAAAATATGCACACTTGGTAAGAGCTCAGAACTCCCACCACTAACAGGGAAGGCTGGGGATTCAGGCGCTTGATCTTCCAGTTGACTCATACTGGGTCCCCCTCACCCAAACAGCCTTCCTAGCCCAGAGAAATCCTATTCATCTGCAGCACCTGCAGCATCCCAAATGTGAAATGATCCCCAGATATCTGTGCACTGTGGCTTACCAAGGCCCAGAGGACAGGTAGGAAGGTGTAAGAGGGGACTCAGAATTCTGATGCAGTCAGGGCTGGGCGTCGGTGAGGTGTCTATAAGGGTGTGGTCCTGTTGGGGCCACGCCTTCTGCTGTCAGGTACTGAGGGACCAACATTTCTGATGCTACCAGTTTCCACAAGGCACGGGAGGAGCTTCATCTCTCCATTAAGAGCTGCCTTTCATCTAGAATGCTTGGGGACAACTTTCCCCTAGGCTTATAATCTGTCAGGTCTTAGAGAGGTGAGGATAGCACTTGAAGTAGCATTGTCTTGCCAGGCAGGTGTATCAACTCTGCTCTTTACTTTCCCAGCAGGGGGTAAGTGTCAGGCTTCCCTGGGGCTGGACGGTAGCTAGAGAGCTTTTCAGCGGCTCTGAGTCCAGCCTTTGTGTTTTTGCTCCTCTGACAAATACTGAATCTGATCTTAGAGCACTCCTGTGCTGTTGGAGATAAGGATATGCGTAAATGTTGTCAGGGAGGGGTTCTGACTTCATTCCATGCTCTGAGGCAGCTTACCATCTTGAGTACCAACCAAGAGCCAACTTCTAAGAAGTTACACCTGCCATTCCCCACATCTCTCAAATGCTGGATGTGTTGATGAAGCCAGTGCATTCCCTTTCACTTGTATACTATTTCCCCTTCTCATAGAGAGGAGGAGAGGGCCTTAGGGATTGTAGTGTTACAGTAGGCAGGGGGTTGGCTTTGAATTATCCAACTCTGGAAGTTACCCTGAGAATCATCATCCAAGGTCTCCTTGTGGAAACAATGGCTGAGATCAAGTTCTTTAGAAGGCGACCTTGACATGAAGGTTACTGGAGAAAATAAACAGGCTTACCAAGCCCACTGGTGGAGGAGGGTAGATATGTCCTGGAAGAGAGATCGAAGTCTGTTTCAAGTCTTAGGGAATTTGGTAGACAATGTGAGCTTTGCCTAAGATGTCCCAAGCAGGAGCAAGAGGAACCACTTGTATTTTTGTAGTGAACAGTTGTGAACCAAGAGCTCCCAGGGAGGCACGGGTTCCTGAGCACATGGGGCTCTGACAGCCCGAGGACAGCCCTCCACTAAGGCGAACTAGGCACCAGGTGTTATGAATGGGAGCTCCTTCAGGACACCGGCCACAAAATGGGAAAGAAAACTCAGGAGATCCCAAGGGAGGATGGAGAGTGTGTTTGCCCATTACTGAATGCTGAAGACGTTTTACCTTTGATGGGAAAGACCTCTCTACTGGGTACGTACTTCAGTTCTGCACATGCGCACGCATGCAGCGAAGGCGTGGATTGTCTCACAGCGAAGCTAAGCGGTTTCATTGCTAATATTCAGTAAAATCCGTAGATGCCTGGTACACACAGGAGCCCTCAAGGGTCGGACTCTCCCAAAGCTTTTCCATAAGTGACTGAAGACTTTCTGGAAATGAGGAAGGAAAAACACTTACTCATGTTAGGGTCTGAAAAAGCCCACCGCCCGAGGAACAACTCCAAGAGACTTATTCTCTCATGCAACCAGCAAAGGGTTAAATTTATTGATCCAACATGTTGGGGCCCTCTGACAAGGACAGAGGAGCAGTGAGGAACTACAGCATAGGGTTTATAAAGGCAAGAACTGCAAAATCGGGAGGGGGGAGAGAATACACGGTTGCTAAGCGGTTGCTAAAATCTTACAATCAGCAATTACGATTTTAAGACATTGACAAATCACATCTTCATTATTAGCCCAGGTAACCCAGGTGCAACATTTCTACTTTTAAGCTTGAGCAATCATGCTAGGGGGTTTTTGTGCATTGCCAAGGGTGATGTAGTGCACTGCTATTGTCCGATTATTTGAGATCATAGTTTCAGACCAGAGTCTCACGGTGGGGGGGTTGCTTTCCCAGAATGCAGTCTCAAGTGCTCCAAAATGGAGTCCCTACTGTCAAGGTGCTACTTTATTGTTTTATTTTTACAGCTGCACCAGGAAGGTTTAAACCTGTAAGCTTAAGCTTAACTTTTTACACCCGCATATATACAATTTTAACTCT